GCGCCAGGGTGCCCGGGGTCCCAGGAGGGGTGCTGAGCCTCGGGCTTTGAGTCAGCAGGCTGGCACAGAGGCTCCCAGGTGACCTGGACGCAGCGGACCAGGCCACACCTAAGTGGAAGAGAGCTGGAGGGCCGAGTCACTCCCACTTTGCTTAGTCCCGCGACACGCCCCCACTGAGCAGGTGCCTGGGTGGGGGAAGAGGGAAGGCTGGGCCAGGGGAAGTCCACGTGTGGGCCAGCCCTTTGGGTACCTTTGGCTCAGCAGCAGGCCTCGGCGGTGCTTCCCCTAATCCACCAGTCCTGCTCTGACCCCACCTACCCCACTGCCCCCCCAGGAGTGGCTTCTGGCTGGACACACCACCCTGAGAGTTGGCAGTGACGAGGATCTGCTCACCCTCCCACTGCGTGTTTCCATGGTCTCATAGCTTGTCTGTGGACCGTCCTGTGGGCTTGCCTGCCTTCTCCTCCCCACGCCATTTTTCAATCAGTCAAAAGGAAACATAGTTCTGTTCCCAGCCATCGTGACACCAAGTCCCCTACGAGAGACGCATTGGTAGGTGATGGAGACAGGGCCTGTGTGTAGCGGTTGGCACGGCCACGTGTATGCCAGGCCTTTCCTCTCCGCGACAACTCCGCTAATGTTTGGATCAATACGTGCTCTATGTCTTCCTGAAAATGAAGAGTCGTGGGGAAAGTACTGGAAGAAATATGCCAAAGTGTGGCGGTTCTCTCTGGGCGTCTGGTGGGAAGGGGGGTGTGTAGCAGTTGTTATTTTCTCCCGTGTACTTTTCTAGATTTTCTGAGTGTTTTGCTCTCCCTGGATCCATGGCCAGGTGGAGCCAAGGATGAGTCCAGAGGTGGGGAGTGCCAGGTCCTCCTCCTTCCTGTCCCCACAGAGGCACATGCAGCCCCAGCAGGCCTCCGGGAGGCAGCGGGACGAGGGCTGTTTCCTCCCTCGATCAGGCATGGAGAATGATGAATTAGCCGCCACCCACCCAGCCCTCCTCACACCACGCCAGCTGCCATTGAAGGGCTCTCCCACCCCCTCATCTCGCCCTCATGCTGGCCCAGGGAGACAGACGCCAGTGTCACCTCTTCTTCGACCCGAGGCCCCAGGGGAGGCATGACTTGCGGAAGATCACACGGGGGGACATGGAGAGGCTGGACAAGGGCGCACAGTTGGAACTCCGGTGCTGCTGTGACCTCGACACCCGTCGTGAGGCTCAGATCTCCCCTCCCCCCTCCACTCGTCCCTGCCCATTCCTTCTGCCAGGAGCCCGTGGCCTGCCGGGACCTTCCATCATGGGCTTTGGCCGTGAAAGCTCACTCATGAAGGACACTCCCTGAGAAGGTCACTTGCAGTCACTATCGGCCTCTCAGAAGGCACGGACATGGGATCCTTGAGGGGGGAATAAAAAAATGAGACAGAAAGTTTCCCTCAGCTACGGGATCTTTAATCACAGGAGCATGCAGGGTTTGGGAGAAGTGATTTCTTCAGGGGACGTGATCAGGAGAGACGCTTGAGCCCGTGACAGCCTGTTAATTTAGGATTCTGCCTCTGTGTGAAACGCAGAGTTGGGCTGAGTCGTAATTCACCAAGGTGCTGTCACAGCCGGGAGCGTGGGGGCTCTCGTGTCAGCTGCCACCAAAGAGGCTGAGACAGGAGGGACGTGGTGGGCAGCGGGCTCCAGAGAGCGTCTTCCTCCTCCATGGACATGGGCTCTCCCAGCTGGACCTGGTGCAACCAGAACTGCGGAGTCGCCTGGAAGGGCTCCTCGCTTCCAGAACCTTCCCTGCGCCCCGTGCAGGGTGCAGCGGACACATGCTCCCTCCAGCCCTCTCCCTCCCTCCTGTCCTCCCTCTGGGGCAGCAGGGACCTGGGCCGTCTAGAAAGCTGACAATGGGCTCTTCCAGGGGCCCTGAGACCAGTCTGGTGTGGGGAGGGGAACGCGTGCCCTAGGTGCTAATGGCAAAGCCAGGACTGCATGGTCAGGACAGGCTCAGCTACAGTCACCTCCCCCACATTTCGGTGGCTTCAGATAACATCTGCAGTGCCTGTTCACCGAGGGGCAAGGGTGGCAGGGGCCCCATCCACACGGTCACAGGAGTATCCCAGCTGGTGGGGTCCTCCAGCATCATGGCAGTTCCCCGGGAACAAGTGCTTACTTCCATCACTCGAGCAGGGGCAGAGAGAGTCAGGACTCCCACAGGGCTTTCCACAGCCTCCTCCCTCGGGGACACAGCACTCCCCTCCCCTCAGGGGCTGGAGCACATCATGTGGCATGGGGAGATGGAAAGCTTGAGCAACATGTGTATCTGCAGACAGGGGTGAGTTGAGGGACCCAAACCCGCCCCCCCAGCACCCCACCATGTGTCATGTGTCCTCCATTAGAGATGTGTCCTTCTGGTTCTTCCTGGGGTCAGGTTCACCATGGGTCAGTAGAAAGAGTCCAAGATTGAGAAGCAGAAGATCTGGGTTCAGGTCCCAGCGGGGTTACTTACTCACTGTGCTTCACATTTCTGAGCCTCGGCTTTGTCATATGTTAAGCTGAACTCACTGTATCCGTGCTGTGAAGTTGTTATTGTTACTGTCCTCTGCAGATCGGCCCATGCTGCATTCTGGTTTGGAGACTCCTATTCATGCCAGTTCACGTCATCAGACATCTAGCATGTGACTGGGAGCTGTCACTGTTGAGGACACTGTGTCATGCCTGCCTGTGGGACTCGACATCCTGCATTTTGCCGTCAGTCATTTTGAAATGATGTGCCCTGTGTCTTGCCCACAGGTAGACTCCCCGCCGGATTTTACTGCAGTTTTGAGGATGGCTTCTGTGGCTGGACCCAGGACACTCTGTCACCCCATGCTCCCCAGTGGCAGGTTGGGACCCTGAAGGACGTCCAGCTCCGGGACCACCAAGGTACCCACCCACCACCCCCCTTCCCTTCTCCCTGGTGCCCATCCTGATGCCCATGTAGACAGACAGAGACTCACGGCCCATCCCAGGGCTGGGTCTCTCCTTGCAGGGCAAGCTGAGCGCCTGCCCAAAGTTTGCTGGGCGCTCCCCACAAGTCCCTCTTCATTTTGTGATGGCGCACGTCTGTTGTCCCAGCTCCCTAAGGAGGTCCTGAGGGACACAGAAGGGCATCAGTCATGCTGGGGATTTCAGGGCACCTAGAAGTCACGAGTAACACCAGCACCCATGTCCACAGCACTGGCCACCTACAAAAGCTCCTTGGTCCCAGAGGCTTCCAGAGGTTTCTTCCGCCACTATGTGGGGTTGGGGCTCCCACTCTCCCAGGCTCATGGGCAGAGCCGTGCTTAGAAATCACCAGAAGTCAGTCTCCCAGGCAGGGCACGGGTCACAGAATGACCTGGGCTTTGGACAGGGCATGAGAGACTGCTGGTCGTGGAAGCCGTGGGGCGGCAGTACACTGGTGTAGCTGCAGGTGGAGTGGGGTATGGGGAGGCCATGAACCTCGGAAGATGGGAGTTTAGTTGCCAGAGTACGGCACTGGGACCTCACAGGCAGTCTGGAAACGAAGGCCTTTGTGTGGCCCGGTGTTGATGGCCACACCAGAGGGCGTCCTCGGCCTCGTAGGCCAGAAGCCAGTGTCCCCAAACAGGCTTCCAGGCTGGATGGAAACCTTGCCCAGTCCATGAACCCCACACCTGGCTGCTGCCAACATGCATCTGTGACCCTTTCCTCCCCTGCAGGCCACGCTTTGCAGCTCAGCACCACGGACGGCCCCGCTGCTCAAAGTGCCACGGTGACCAGTGCAACGTTTCCTGCTCCGATGAAGAACTCTCCATGCGAGGCAAGTCCAGTCCCCTTAGCTCTCTGACTCCCCCCAGTCCCTTGTCACCGCCCGAGGAGTCCAAACAGATTGAGAAGTGACTGGATGGCTGGGCTAGGTGCTGTCCCGGGGAAGAAGATAGGGGAGCCATTTGTGACATCTCCCAGACACAGCATGTCCCTCCATACAGGGGCATCCCATCTGCAGAGCCCCATGCCTCAGACACCCATGCTCCACCCCCCGAGCTATCTGCAGGGGGACCTTGACTTAATCAAACGCAGAAAAGCTCTTCCAGGGCATCCCAAGGGAGCACAACAGGGATTTAGGAACAACTTCCTCCAGAATCCCTCCCAGAAGCAGCAAGCTCTGATCATACATTTCATTCCCATAGAGCATCAAAAATTGGATTGACATAAATTTCACTCAGACCTCAGTGGCGCTTGGTGAGTTGCTCCAAGGCCACGTGGCTCCTGGAACTTGATCTCGTGAATGTGAGGATGCAAGGGCTGGCGGCATGTTCCTTGGCAGATGGTCGTGTTCTCCAGGGGTCAAGACAAGTACAGAAGACCCCAGCATGACAGTGACTGAGCTTGGGGACTCTGGGGAGCTCTTGGACTCTGAGTCCAAGTCAGGTTCCACCACTGATTGTACAATTTGTTTTGGCAGTTAATTCACCTCTCAGGGACTCAAGTTTTCCCACCTGGAAAATGGACACACTACTATTGCCTACCCCAAAGACGTGAGGATTAAGTAGGTGATGTGTGTAAAGGGCTTAGAAGAGCATCTGGCCCAAAGCACTACAACAGTTATCCAACAGTACCTGGTGCCCCATGTACACATTCAAGAGAAGAACAAACTCAGGCGCGGTGGCTCACACCTGCAATCCCAGCACTTTGGGAGGAGGTGGCGAGGGGATTGCTTGAGCCCAGGGGTTTGAGGCCAGCTTGGGCAACTTGGCGAGACCTCATCTCTACAGTAAATCAAAAAATTAGCTGTGCGTGGTGGTGTATGCCTGTAGTTCCAGCAACTTGGAAGGCTGAGGCAGGAGGATTGTCTGAGCCCTGTAGCTCGAGGCTACAGTAGCTGTGATCATGACCCTACACTACAGCCTGGGTGACAGAGTAAGAGTCTGACTCAAAAAAAAAAAAGGAAAGCAGGGGAGAAGAAGAGGTCCTTTGCCAAAACTCAGACTAAGCTCCAGAAACTCACAGGAGAATTCCCTGCCTGACTCGGTTTCAAGAATAGCCATGTGCCTTCCAAGCAATTGCTTCCCATGGAGTTGTGAACATTGGGAATTTGACCAGATCTGCGTGCCCTCCTTGGCCAGTAGAAACCCCGGGGGAGGTGGCTTTCAGGCCAACAGAGGAACAAGACAGGAAGAATCAAGCCCTGCAGAGGTCTTGTGGAATAAAAACTGACAGCCGTAAAACAAGCAGGAACGGAAAGGGTGTGTAGATGCTATTGGTAATAGGAGTGGTTAGGAAGCCCAGGACCCCGGCCAGCAGGTGGGCCATGTGATGTGTGACTGGTGGCTGCCTGGCCTGGCCTGATCCTCCTCGCCCTCCTCTGGATTATCTTGCTGGACGTGGTGTGCCCGGGAGTCACCTTATAGTCTCTGTGGATGGAATCTGGCACACATCAATTGGTTCATTAGATGGAATCATATTTGAGATTTGCCACCTGATGCAGATGGTGGCATGACACGTCATCGCTGGCAGTCCCAGGCCCCTGAGAGCAGGTACCTGGAAAGGGAGGCATTTAGGAGAAAATCCACAGAGGGACAGATGACTGGCCCACCTAGGGGGACAGGAAGACCCTTAAAAGCATTTGACCTTTACATTCACTCTTCGCTGGATTTCATATGAGGCGAGTTCCAGAAAAAGAAATGTCAGGGTAAGAATGATATTATGCTAATTCTTCATGCCTCTAATCACCTCCGAGCTGATCAATAGCTTAGACAGGCAGTTGGTTTCCTGGCCTGTCTCATTTTTCCCACAGTCGAGTTTGCTCTGGGCCGTGTCCGCGTTCTCCTGCCCTTTCCCAGGCCTGGCTCTGTGACCTCCTAGAGGGAGGGAGCTGCGTCCATACCACCTGCGCAATATTGATATTTATACAGGGTCACATTCACAGTGGTTCCCACTCCGGTTTCCAGACCGTTTGCCTAATGCTGATGGGCCAGCCAGCTCCCACTGCGGGAGGAATGTTTTCATCAGGAATATAAATAACCAGATAGGAATATGCGTTTCCAGGTTTGTGAGCCCTGACGTTTATTTTATCCGAACCCTAAATGCCAAAGGCAAGACTTGACTTCCTTCTCCAGGCCGGCCTTTCATGGGGCAGGGGAGCAGGGTCGGTGGCTCTGCCACAGCCTGCGTGCAGCTAACTTGGGGATTCTGAGCCCACCTGCCCTCCAGGGACCTCCACTGGCTGAGGGCCCGAGTGCAGGGAGGCAGACGCTGGGCAGGGCTGGGGTACAGGTCCCAGTGAGCTCCAGGGCCAACGCCCAAGACCGAGCAGCTGCCGCAGATCCCTTGCTGGGTTCCGGGGCATCTGGTCGTGCATCTCAGAATGTCTTCTCAAGAAACCCCACCATCAAGGCATTCCCAGGAAACTGGTGGCATCGCCAGTGGATTTTCTTCAAGCACCAGAGGCAAGCCGGCTTGTAGGTCCATGTCTCTCCAACTCAATCACCTGGAAAATGTGATAAATGCAGGTCCATGGGTCCCACCCTGGACCTGCTGAAAGATGTCCCTGAGTGAGGCCTGGAGCTTAGCATGTTCAAGTCCCTCCCTCGGTGAGTGGAGGCACACTGAGTTTCAGGGCCATTGCCAGCTGGGACCAAGAGGCCTCCCGAGCCCACACAGGGTGTCTCCTCCGTGACCTGTGGCCCAACAGTGTGGCGTCACTAGCCTTTTAGACAGAGGAATCAGAGCAGGGGTGCAGAGGGTGACCGAGGAGACGGAGGGGCTGGGAGAGCCCATGAACCAGGCCAGGCCGGAGCCCGCTATGACGGCAGCACAGCCAAGGCTCCGTGGGGCTTCCAGAAGCCCCTGTAGCCACCATGGCCACCTAATGCCCGGCTGCAGGTGCGACCCTCTCGGCCCAGGTGCACCAAACATGAATATGTAAAGGCTCCACCAGCCGCCAGCCGCCAGCAGGCTGGCCTGTGGCTCCGAGTTTCTCTCCACCCCCCGACAGGGGAGCCACTCACGCTGTATTCTGAGTCGACTTTATCTTTATTTCTGTTTTGCTGAGCTCTAGTCAAATAATGAGCGTTGCCAGCAGGAAGGGGCCCATGTGGCCCTTGGGTGCTGCCAGGCCCAGCCCATCGTGGTCCGCGACCCCATGGAGGTGTCTGCAGCTGGTAATAAGAACCAGGCATGGCATCTCCACGCATCAGCTTGAGCAGCTCAAGAAGTTCTATGGGGCTGGAGTTCCATTTTATTTGAATAGCCTGCCTGTGACTAGAATAATCTAAGTCGTGTTCTCAGGCCAGAACGAGGCCTGTGGGATGTGGGCTTTCCTCACCCCCTTTCCCTCAGATGTGGGGCAGTTCTCCTTCTGGGAGCTGCAGAGTTCAGGGCCTGGAGGTAGGTTGGGCCCCCTGTTTGTGGTGGTCAGGTCCCTTCTTCTGGTTGTCTTACCTGGCCAGAGCTGCAGCCAGAGTGTAAGCACATGCACACACATGCACGCACATGCACATACATACTCACACACAACACATGCATGCATGAAGACATGCACATTCATGCACACACACCCACGCATGCATGCACATGCATGAACACATACATACTCATTCATGCACACATGCATACATGTGCAGGCACATGCACGCAGACACGCATGCACACACTCACACATATACACACTGGGATCCTGGGACACAGTAGGTCTTCCTGCCCCTGACACCAGCCCTAGTGATCAAAAGAATCACCCCTGGTGAGCCCTGGGCTGTGACACCCGGTGGGCCCTCTGTGTCTACGTGGACTGGGAGGAAGGAGAGTAGCAATCTGTGTCCTAGAAACCAGCAAGGGTAGCCCAGAGGGACGCGGGTGGAGGCTGGCCCCTGGCATGGTCTCCAGCGGTGTATTGCAGCCTGCTCAAAGCCCCACGGAGGAAGGCCTGAGGGCTGCTCTCTGCTGGGTTTGTGGGACTCCCAGGCGCGGCCCCTCCCGCCACTGCTGAAGCAGCTGTGCTGACTGGGCCTATTCCAGCGCCCACCTCAGCTGCACACAAACGAGACTCGGGGTGGGAAAAAGAGAGGGACTTTTCTGACTGCTGGGTTTCCAAAGTGTATTAAACTTGAGGGCAAATACTACTGTGGAAAGCCCAGAGAGAGACAGAGAGCCACGGTCATCGTTGCCAGCAGCTTGGCACAGGGGGACAGGGAAGCAGAGCGACCCCCTGCATGACCCCCCCACCACACCCTCGACAAGAGCGGGGCCAAGGCCATGAGTGGAAGGTTGGACTCGGCTCACTTCGCAGAGCACCATCTGTGACATCTTGGGCAAGAGAGACCATCGTGGCGGGGCAGGAGAGAAACGCCCCCAAGATGCACAGCCAGGAAATACCAATCAAGACCAAACCAGATCCGGGCCTCAGCCTCATGCTCTTCCTGCCATGGGCCTGCCAGGGACAGACGGAAACTTCTCTGCTTAGGGGGGTTGATGCAAGCCCCAAAAGCATCAGCACTTCCGGCTCCGACTGTGTGTGGCAGTTTACCCTGTAGTCCCAGCTCTTTGGGAGACCAAGGACAGAGGATCACTTGAGACCAGCCTGGGCGACAGAGAACCCATCTCTCCAAGAATCAAAATAAGATACTTTTAAAAGTCATCAGGCCTGACACTTAACTCAGAGCTCCCGACTCCCCCACCATAGACCCTCACCTCTGTGGGCAGGAACGGCCTCATGTAACAGCCTTGTTCTCTGCTCGTCCCTCCATCAGCTCTGACTAGTCACCATGTCTAATTCCTGAGTGACCAAGGGGACCCGCTGCTCACCTAAGGGACCAAGTGGCATGTGTTCATGTGGGTGCATTCCTGGCCCCAGGTGGTCTAACTCATTTTAGCAAACCAGGCAGAGGAAGCCATTCCAAGAGGCCCTGTGGGTTTGACTCTGATAAGGCCATTATTCCCTGGATCCAGTCCACTTCCCACATGAACCATGGGTCCATTGAGGTAAAAGGGTGCTGTCCTCATCCTTCTCCTCACCCACTCACCCCCAGGCTGCGGCTAACAACTGGCCAAGGAAGAACAAGCCAGTCTCTACCGGGGCCTACCCGGGACCAGCCTCTGCCCCTGTGCCCCCCATGCTGACACTTTGTGGAGGTGTTAGAAACCCTGTTGGTAAACCACTGGGCCCAGACCACGTCATCTCTGCCTCACTGCGCCAAGACACCTCTGCAGGTATTTGGGGACCAGTATACCTCTCAGGCAGAGGCCCTGTGGGTACCCGTTCCCAGGCCATGCTGACGATTCTGCTCCCATCTCAGGAGAAGGGACATCAGCTCCTGGCATCAGTGGGGCCTGGGGCTGCCCCACACTCGCTGCCCTCTGCACACGCCTCTTTCACACTGGGGGCCGGGATCAGGACCCTGAGCAGGTACTGGCCTCCATCTGGGCTGTCCGCTCTCTGCCCAGGAGGACCTTGTGTGGGGCCCAGCAGGAAGCACAAAGCCCCTCTGGCTCCCACTGGGTGATGCTGACATCTGAAGTGAGTCAAGGATGCAGCTTTGGGTCCCGCCAAGTTAGGGAGCCCAGGATTGGTGCTCCAGCCCACTGCTGAGGCCTTCCGCCTTATGGGCTCACGCCCCCTCCCACAGTGTCTTCCACTGTCACCCTTCCTCTGCCCCATGAGTCACCCCGATCCCGATGCTGTGTCTGAGTTCAGAAGTCCCCCACTGGGCAGTGAGCGCCCATCACCTTGCATCCAGGGGAAGCGAGAGGAGACCGCAATGAGGCTGCTCTCTCATGAGGTCATTTCCAAATGACTTTTTCTCAAGACTCACCACATGAGGAGAAGATTCGGGCCCCACCTCCATCTCCGATGACAACCGTCCTCTGCACCTGTAAGTGCATCACCGTCCTGCAAGTCCCCTGTGTGCCAAAGACCACGGAGCCCTCCACTGCCACAGCCATCCTGGGTGTGAGTGGCATGGGCGGCACAGGCCAGGTGTGCAGCAGCTGTCTGAGAGTGAGAACATGAACTTCTCCCTCAAGGAGGGGTCCCAGGAAGGACCCTGATTTGTGCAGCCACACATCCCCCTGAAATGCCGCCCGGAGCTCTGGCACCTTCTTAACATTCTGCCACACTCTGTATTGTCTCAGCTAATGACCACTGTCAGAAAGAGAGACCACCCTCATCCTGAAGCATAGTCAGCCAAGCTTTGGACCACATAGCAAGGACAGGCTTTCATCCAGATCTCTCTGATTCTTAGAGTCTCAGACCAGTCTAGAATGGAGGACACATTGACCCAGTGTGTCCTCAATAAACATTCGCTGAATGACTAAACAGTCGATGTCCTTGGATTACAGAGGGGGAGTGCAAGTGCCTTGATCTTTGACAGGGAAGAGGGAACCACTGAAGGCTGCTGAGCCCCGAGTCAAGGATGGCAGGGACAGACAAGAAGATGCGACAGAGACAGCCAAGAGGATTCAGAAGGGAGAAAGCGTGGGGGCGGGGAGGCACTAATTTAGGGGCTATGGAGAGGTCAGCGTGTGAGCTCTGAAGGACATGTGACGCCATCTTGTCAGCACAAGGAGGAGATGAGTTGGAAGGCATCATGGAGGGATGGAGAGGCTAGGCAATGCAGTGGTGGGGCGGCAGGCGCCCTGCTGGCCACGCCGGGAAGGAGGGGACCTCTGGTGGAGCTCCTGCTGGCAGCTAACCTGACAAGCCAGGAGCATCAACCAAGGAGGGGTTTCCAGAATGGGTGAAACCTGACCTCGCAGATGAGGAGCCAGGAGCCAGAGAGACCCTGAGGCACTAGAGAAAGGCGAACCCATAACTGACCAGGTGGGACGAGGGGCGGGAGGGTGGGAGGCAAGAAGAAGGCGCAAAGGAGAGGCACAAGAGACGCGGACACCGGCTGCCAGGAGAGAGGTTGCGCCTGATACAGCCGGTCTTTCTCGGTAAAGTGGGAATCACATCAGTGGGTCGGGAGCTGGGGACAAGGAGGTGGCAGCATCAGCGTCTCTACTCGTGTGTCCACACACCAGCAGTGGAAAGCCATGGAGGAGGAGGAGGTGCCGTGAACCCACCAGGCCCTGAGTCAAAGAGGGCAGGGACTCCTTGACATCGGGACTCACAGACATCCAAGCAGCAAAGCTCTGCCGTAAGGAGAAAGAGGGAGGGTGCATGGTGTCGGGCTTGATCCCAGCCGGGTATTGCTGGCGCAGGTGGCAAGCTGAGAGGGTGTGGAGTCAGCAGGGGTGGGGTTCACGATTCCTGTCCAGATGGTGCAAGGGGAGTGGGGCCTGGAGGAAAATGAGCAGGTTCATTCAGCTTTCCTGGGAGATCCTGACGGAGACGCGCATTACGGATGGTCCTTCCCTGGGAGGGCGGCATGTTGGATGGAGACGCACGTTGGCTGCCCTGACGCGGGACACAGAAGTGGTGTGAGCGGAATGCCTCCTGTCACTTAACCTCTTTAATCTGATTGTGAGGACTCCGTGAGGCAGAGACTGGAGGCTAAGAGTGCCAACTTACAGAGGAGCAGGTGTTCACACAACCGGCATCAGTTGAAGGGGCACCATCGCAGATGAAATGCCAGCTTGCCGGCAACCTGTTTGTCCTCTTTCTACAATAGGCATTTTGTATTTGAGGATCTAAACAGGTGTATTTGGGCCATGGGATGATGTAGTTGCTGTAGATTTCAAATGCAGTCCACAGATTGTGTCTATCAAGTACCCAACCCCTGCCATTTGCAACACAAAGACCAAGGCCTTGTTTGCTGTGCGCCCAGCTCTGGACATGACCGTGTTTAAACTTCCTTGGAGAGATGGTTAGCTACAATTCCCTTTCAAATGTCCAGGGAATGACGCCACAGAAACTCTTAAGTAAGACACAATGAAAAAACATGATCGTCGTTTTTTTTGTTTGTTTGTTTTTTGGCAAGATGGGCCTCCTCATTCTGAAAGACAACCATATGTAGATTTTTTTGAAGGCCTACCTACAGCCAGAAGGATCAAGTCATCGGATCCCCTGTTGGCTGTCATGACGTGACATGAAGCCATTCAAACAAGATCACTAGAGTCTTTGGGGAAGGAATAAACATCCATGACACCTACATCACTGAGAGAAACCGGGTCACAAAACACTCACCCAAGGGCATACGAGAACCTTTGGCGATCCCTAGGAAGCTCGTGTGACACCCCACTGACCTTGAACTGCCCCAGAGGCAGAACTGTGCGAACTTGCGGAGGATGGCATTGACCTGTGGAAGCTCCAGCTGCCCAGCACCATCCCGCCTGGCTCCTGGCCCTTGCCGAAAGCCACAGTGGGGGACAGGCCGTGGGCAGCAGGCCCCTCCCACCAGCCGGCCTCGGTGAGCCTCCAGCAAGACCCTCCCAGCTCCACTGAGACTCGCAGGCAGGGGACCAGGCTCCTTCCCACAATGACACCCATCTCCGCTCTCCTCTCCCTCCAGCTCCGGATGTCCTGGCTCGTCCGTGGAGTCCTGAGGGGAAACGTGTCCTTGGTGTTGGTGGAGAACAGGACCGGGCGGGCGCACGACAGGACGGTCTGGCACGTGGGCGCCAGCGAGGGCCTGGGCCTGTGGCAGTGGACGGTGCTGCCCCTCCTCGACGTGTCCGACAGGTGGGCCTCACCCTTCCTCCACTCCCTCTTTTGCGGTGGCCAAAACGCAGCAGTGGCCATGTTCTCCCTCCCCCACACCATTTATTCACCCAATACACGCTCGATGTGTGGGACCACACACACATGCACATGCACACACGCATACGCGTGCACACACACACCCTCCATGGGTCCCGGGAGCACAAGTTCCTCCAGGGGTGTGGTGCAGCTCACATATGTCCTTCGCACCTGCAGCCTCTGGCAGCGGCCTCTGGCACCTGTGGCAGGAATACGGCTAGACAGTCGCATTGCCCCTCTGGGAGGCAGCTGGGCTTGTGCAGCCTCCTCTCACTCGGTGGATTTCACCTTCCCACTTGACATTTCATTTTTCATTATGAACAACAAAACCCACAAGGCAGGTGGGACAGGCCCTACCCTCCCCTCCTTCCCCCTCCTGTCCTGCCACAAGGGGAGACCCTGAGAGTCAAGAGGTGAAGGCCAGCAGGCTGGACTCTGAGTCCAGTGCTCTGAGGTCAGGTCCCCAGGCAGGTTGATGGTGGTGTGTGACAGATTTTTCAGCAATGGAGTGTGTCCTGTCACATCATCGCCATTCGACTGAGAGAGTCAGCCTCTCCGACTGTGTCTCTGCGTGACTCTGCAGTGGACCAGGGACTGCAGAGCTTTCCTGCCCCTTCCCTCCCGAGATGGGATGGCACTGCTTTGCCACCTGCAGGCGGCCAGGAACGGGTCATGCCGGAGCAAAGACCACCGGACCGGGCTCCCAGGGACACTGCAGGTCATTCTCGCCCTCGCAGTGGGTGCTTGTCGGTCCCAAGAGGGATGAGGGGCTTGTCTATGAGGGGGCAGATCTGAAGGGAAAGCCGTCTCTCATGGCTAGATGTCAGACCCTGCCACCCTGACACCTCTCAGATGACAGCCCTGCCTGCTCGCCTCTGAGAACACAGTGGCAGGCTTGGGTGGAGGCTGACGCCACTGGAGCATGACCTTGGGTGTTTCGATCTGGTTCCAGATTCCTCGCCCAAACCTCACAGAGCCTGCCCTTCCCAAGACTTGTAACCACGTCTGTACCGTGGAGGGAGGAGGACGTGACCCTCACCCAGCACCTGCGGCCACTCCTGGGCGTTTGGGGTTCAGATCAAAGCCCGTGGACACTCCGAGGCTCAGCAACCCCGGGACGGGGGTTCATTGGAGTTGAGGAAGGGGAGGTGTGGGTACTGCCACCACAGATGAGCCTTTCGCCCCAGGGTTGTGGGGTGCGCAGGGGTGGAGGACATGAGCGGTGTAGAGCCCCTCCTCCTGGGAGGGTGACGCTAATTCAGATGGGTCAAAGGCATGTCCTCAGTGCAGCAAGTCCTTCTCTCCATCACTGCTCAGGGTCCAAGGCAAGGAAGGTGTTGACCACACCCCTCCTCCAGAGTCTCCCTGGGAGGAGACATGTCCTCATCCTCCCTCCTCAAATGAGAAGCTGTTTACAGGACTGACATTTCCGACATTGATATTGAGACCAAACTGCCCATCAGGGACTCGGACAAGAGCCAGCTCAGCATGGTCATGTGCACTACAGAGCACAAGCGTGCTTCCACCTATGGGGGGCCTGCATGCTGCGACACCCCCATGCCAGAAGTCACCCCCAAAGCTAGAGAGGATGCAGGGAGCACAAGGCCCAGAGGCAGGCAGAGCTCTGGGGGAATGCGGCATGGCCGTGTGCACTTGCTGAAATTAAAGCAGCCGATTGGCATGCCTGGCCTGAAGGACTGAAGAAGCCTCCAGATGAGAGAGCCCGGCCTGTGGAACCAGGGAGTGCAGGGCTCAAAACCTGGCTCAGCCACCTATTAGCTGTGTGATCTCAGCCAGCCACTCAACCCCTCTGAGCCACCAGTCCTCATCAATAAAGTGACATAAGGGTGGTACAATGTCACGGGACTATATAAGACTACATGAAATGACCATCGAGAGAGTCCACACAGAGCAGATACTCGCTGGACTTGACCTCCCGCAACATCCGTCCTCACCCTCTGTCATGTGGCCTCAGCAACAAGTTACTGAATGAGCAGCACAAGTCACCACCACTGCTCTTCAAGTCAGGCCATGTTCTGCAAAACAGAGATAACAGTCTCCTCGGAGGTCTGGGAAGGCCAGGTGTATGGTCCGGCCTGGCCCACACAAAGCCTGATGGGTGGTACCTGCGCACAATCACTGTAACATGACCATGACCACATCTCCCCACCTGATGCCTCAGAGGAGTCTCAGATGGCCAAGTCAGCAAGAGCTGCTAGTCGTGCAACTCTGAGATGCAAGTGGGCTTCTTAGAAAGTGTCAGTCTCAGCGCTCTGTGGCCTCCTTAAGGAAGTCCTGACGGGGAGGGGCCAGAGGCTCACTCCTCCCTCCTTCAGGGAGGAAAGGGAGCCAGAAAGTGAAAATGGGAGGAAAGAAAAGGCAGAGGAAGGAATACCTAAGGGAAGAGAAAGATGGGGTGGATAAAAGGCAAAGGAAAACCACCCCCCTTCTCAGACCTGATCGCCGCCCACCTGCCCACCTCGGGAAACTCCTTGTTCAGTACTGGCCTCGTGGATAGCTGGCCCTGGAGGTTGCAGAACTATGATCCCCTAGGCTGTCCCGAGTCACCTCTGCGCCCAGGCTGCCAACCTCCACGCATGACGCAGTTTTTTATTTATTTACTTTTTTATTTTTTGAGTAGGAGTCCACTCTGTCACCCAGGCTGGAGTGTGGTGGCATACACACGGCCACTGCAGCCTCTATCTGCTGGGCTCAGGTGGTGTTCCCGCCTCAGCCTTCCAAGTAGCTGGAAGCACAGGCGTGCACCACCACACCTGGCTAATTTTTTTGTTTTAGAAACGAGGTCTCATCAGGTTGCCCAGACTGGTCTCAAACCCCTGGACTCAGGCAATCCTCTCGCCTCAGCCTCCCAAAGTGCTGGGATTGCAGCCGTGAGCCACCATACCTGGATCAACGACGCAGTTTTTTAAGCAACTTTATCAGGGTTTAGAGAGGCCCTAAGCGCTCCCAGACTCTTGACACGGTCACAGCCCCTGGGTGTCACAGGAATCAACCTTGTAAGCTTGAGTCTGACCAATTTCCTGTTTTGGGAATACTGCCATGTTTCTTGCGGTTTGCAGGGTGCCTTTCAAACTCCTGAATAAGACCTGTGTTCAGGCGGTGGAGTCCCGCCAGCCCTGACCCCGCCAGCTCCTCCTCGTGCTGTTCTCCCACCACACCTGTGCCCCACTCCCTGGCACCGTGCTGGGGTCTCACCTGGGCATGTGCATCTGCCACCCCCTCATCCGGGCTTCCCCACCGCCCACCTCTCCACACACCACTCTCCTCCTGTGAAAAGACTTCCTAGGTGCCCAGCCTACGTACCTACCTACGACGTGATCTCACGGCTCTTGGAACAGCCCTGTCAAAACTTGTTACTCTCCACCCTCTGTCTTTAATAGCTGAAAACACACACTCACAGGGCAGGGATTCTTTCTGTCCTATATGTGTCCTGCCCACCTGCCCCCACCCACCCTGAGCACCACACCTAACACAGCACACCCAGTAGACACGCCCTGCAGGGTGGCAGACTGAGAGGCCCCGAGCAAGTTCCCAACTCCCAGCCCAATGACCTGAGAATCCACCTGTGGGCTCCGGCTCTCCTTCCTCTTCCCTCCATCCTACCTCTCACGGAACAGGCACAATCGCTTTGTAAGACACACTCCTACAAAGCATCCTGTACATCAGAACCGTAACTGCGTCCCGTCAGATGAAGCAAAGCAGCCTGTGTGACCCTGTGACAAGGAATCCTCTTCAGGGACTCGCCGGGTACCTGCACTTTCTTTGTCGCCGTCCTGTCTGAATCGCTCTGGAAGAAAGACTTTGATCCTAATGGCGTGCCCTGGCCCTCGTGAGGAGAGGGAGCTGGGGCCACATGCTGCAGGGAAAAGAGGTCTCGCCAGCCGTGGCCATCCATGGGAGTCAGTGACTGCCAGAGGCCGACACACGGACACTGCGGAGGTGGCAATCCTCGCCGTGATATTTCCTCTGTCCACTGACAAACAGGCCAAGTGACAGAAGTCACATTCTAGTCCGTCATCATGACGAAATTACGTGAACTGCACAGCCATACCATAAGGAACAACAGAAAACATCTCCCCAGCAAAGCCCCCTTGCTCTGACCGGTTACAGCATCCTGGAATACAATGGCTGCTTTCCAGAGGATTTTACCAGATGGTACCGATGGGAACAGCGGCAGGGTGTAGGCCTACCCATTATCTCCTGACTTCACAGCCCTGTCTAGTGACCTTCCCTCGTTCTGTCCCGCCTCCTCAGCCCACCTCTCCGTCAGCCACTGTTCTTTCTGCAAGAACTGATCCTACCTTTTCTCAGAACAGAAGAAAGGCAAGTCGTCCCCCTTCTTCTGATGGCAGTCTCTGGCCGGGACAGACCCCTGGCCTTCCTCTGGATAATCGTCCACCTCGGGGAATTAAACAGTGTTCACACACCATCCTGAGCTCGACAGGCCTGCAGAGTAGATGTTCAACTCATCATGGCCACGATCAAATCACGTCCCACAAATCACTGCAACCGCACCATCAGATACAAAGTGCATAACTTATCACACCCGCGTCACCCGTGTCCCCACACTTTCATTACCGAGGCTTTTAGCGGAGCGCCATGTACCCAGTCTAACAAGAACCAACACTCCCTGTGGGGATATTTACATTCTTTTTGCATCCTTTGTCCCGGGCAACAAGTGCAATGTTTCACAAATGCCTCTTTCAGACAGATGTCTTCAACCAAGAGTTATGTCCTCCCATATTTAGAATCTGCCTAGAACCAAGATGTTTCTCCTGTTCCATTTTCATCATCTGCAGAACCCCCCTTTTCTGTGGGTGCTGCCGCCACCCACACGCTCCTTTGTGCTACCTCTTTCTGCGACGAGAAAGACACTGGAGCATTTTCATTTCTTATTCTGATCTGTGTAGGGAAGTGGTCGA